GTCCTGGCAGATGCTGCGCTGAGACTGACCTTCAGATCCTCGGCAGACCTTCAGCACGATGGGCTCTTAAATAAAACCCTTTTAGACCTGAACCTTGTGTGCGTTGGGTTTGGATGTTTTCTGGGACTCTTTGTGAGTAGGAACGAGGGTGCAAGGCCGTGGTGAAGGGCGGCCCCGGGGCTGGGGACCTGGTGGGAGGTGTCTGGATCCTGGTGATTTAGAAAAAGGCACTGGGGGAAACAGTGCTGTTCTCACAGCTCCATCTGTGGGCTTATTGGGTCATACCCTGGCACAGGCTCTGTGGTCACGAAACACCTAGCCCCCATGGTTTTTTTGGAGAATCTCGGAGTAGCTCCAGAAACTTGGAACCAATCATGTCAAAACCTGCTGGTGTACCACTGCCTTGTACAAGATACACAGTACACTTCCTCTTGAGTGAGGTCGGGGCCCAGCCAGCCTGGTCGGACCTAACAGAGTCAAAGCTAGGAGGAAATTCCTGGCTTCTGGCTGATGGCAGTGTCTGTGTCATGCTTCTGTGAGGACCTGCCCTCTCCTTAGCCACCTCTACCTCCAGAGCAGTAACCAGCGTTCCTTGGGGCAGCTCCTTCTCCAAGCAGAACTGTGTGAGAAGTGGGTTATGTCCCTTATCTCCCCGTCCCCAGCCGAGCGCCCACCCTCTCAGGCCGGTCCCTCCCTGCACTTGGTTATGAGCCCCACTGAAGGAAGGAGTGGTGGGGACCCCGCCTCGTGGTGGAAGGTTAGCTGGTACTGCCTTTTGCCTTCTAGTTTTGAGGGCTCAGATGGGGATCCATCCCCACCATGTCCCTTCTCCACAGAGAAAACCCTGCCTTCCCTGCCGTGCTGTGGGAGACCCAGCAGAAGCCAGTGAGTAAAAGATACCGCATCACGACTAAAGCCCTTTCCTCGGCCGCCTGCGCTTCCTGTGGTCCAGGTATTCACTGTTTCGCTAAACTCACGCTGTGGGAGTCGGGAGAGCTTGGGGTGTCATTGCACACTGACGCTTTCCAAAGACACGGGCACATCATCCCCCAAAAGGCATCTGATAAAGTCTTACATTTGTGTCCTGTGCCTGTCCCCTTCTGGGGGAGATTCTTGGGGTTAGATACCATTTCTTCCCCTGTTTTCATTTACTGTAGGACATGTGTGTGTGAGACAGAGAGAGAGAGGGAGAGAGAGAGAATGGGAAAGTGAGAAAACGTCCCCCAGAGGGGGTGGCTACACTGAAATCCCTTTTGCATTCTCAGGATATTGGGCACACACGTGTTTTTCAAGCCACAGCGTCTGAGATTCAAACCAGACACCCCTCACCATGTGGGATCCAGTCACCTTAACCACCACGCTACCAGCTGGGCCAGGTTTGGATGCTGTTTTAATGGAATCAGGGAGAAGTGGGTTAGAAGAGCCGGGTCTGCTGGGTAGGATGCGCCAGGGTCTCAAACTTGCTAGTGAGGCTTGGCAACTGCAGTCATTTGAAAAGAGTGGCACTTCGGTGTTGTTGATTCCTGGAGAGGGCAGGAGTGGGGCGGAGAAGATTATTTTGCAAGCATGGACAAAGAGAATTAGGGCTCAGCCCAGGGGGGAGCAGTAGTGCAGAGTGCGGTGACAATCCCCTGCTGCCTCCTGGCAGAGTCCTCCCCTGTGGTCCACTTCCCTTTTATGCTCTTCTGTAGCACCATCGGGACTCTGCATTTCCAAATATTGCTCCCTTTTTTTTTTTTTTTTTGGTCTTAGGATGCATGCACTTGCCAGAGAGAGGCAGTGAGAGAGAAAGTGAGGAAGCACCGCCCCAGGGGGGATGGCCATGCTGCAAACCCTTCTCCTCTGTTCTCCTCTCTGGATCTCGGGCACGCACACACACACATGCCCAGTGTGAGTTTCAAGCTGCTGGGGCCAGGATTCGAGGTGTGATGGGCCATGTGGGAGTCCAGCCCTGTAACCACTACACCATCTGCTGCCCCCCCCCTTGCTTACTTTTTAACCACCGACAGAGAGCTTCGCCTTCGGAGGGCCTTTGGGCTAGTCTTTTCTAATGCAAATAAAGGTTAAACCCTTTGGTTTAGAGAGTCTAGTAAGCTCAGGGGCAGGTACAGCCAGTGTAGAAAAGGGTCCGTCCCTGCCACAGGTGGGCAGGTGGGAGCCAGCCCTGCCTTACCTCCAGCCTGGAAGTGCCAGAATTTCTTGTGGTTTTTATTTACCAGCAATTTGAGAACTCGATGTGAACTCAGTGTATGCAGTGTACACCTTGTACAAAACAGGGTTTGTTTTCCGTCGTCGGGAACCAAACAGACGTCAGTGTCCCTGTTGGTTGTCACAAGACACGCCCAGCATTGCTGCCTGAGTTGTGCGTCCACAGAGCGCCTGGCCGTGCCTTTCCCTGTAAAGTGCCTCACAATTCACTTTTATTTCTGTTTCTTGTTAGGTTTATTTAGTTGGCTTATTATCAGCAAGCCCCATTTTCCTGGAGGACAGATTTCTGGGTGAGCCAAGATGGTGTGGGTGGGAACGGAATGGGCTCTGGTGTGTCCGTTGGCAAAGCGGGTGACCCGCGTCTCTGGTTTAGATGTTTATGTGGCCCCTACAGCATGGGGAGCCGTGTGTGAGCAGGTGTCCTGCCGTGAGCGAGGATGAGTGTTATGGATGAGTTATCTTCGGAGTTTGCACAAAGACCGGCCAGGCGTGCTGAGTGTGTATGTGTGTGGCAGGGGAGAAGACCCAGGATACAGAGAGACCCATGTAATTCCTAGGCCCCTTGCAATGCAGGCCAGATGGAGAGTAAAGGGGGAGGGACCTCATAAAATCGGGCCGAGCAAGTATCTTGAGTAGGATTGCTAACCTGGGAGCTGACGTGGGCCATGCACTGGGCAAAGTAGCACATTTGGTTCCCATTTTACTTCTGACCTCGTTCCTGAAGAACCTGCTCTCAGGCCGGTGCTGTTGGTTAATCAGGGACCCACAGCCAGGTTGGAATCCGGTCCTGGGGGGATTTTTTCCACGTCTTTTCTTTTTTCTTATCAGCGATACGGAGATGTGCTTTGAGATCGAGTCTGTTCCAAGATCACATTGTTTTCCTGTGGAAGAATTCTGTTTCCCACAATGTGCGATTCTGAGATTGTTATTGATCCAGCCGGCCTTGACTTCAGCCCCCGTTATCTGTGGTTCTCATCGCCCCTCCCTCTCGCCTCGAGGTCTCGGTAATAAGCTCCCTGTGCTTTTCTCGTCTTAGTTTAGCCGGAGTCGCTGTCCATGGAAAATAATTACTGGGAATGTTCTGGAATAGAAAGTGAACAACAGCGTTGCATAAGTACCACATAAAGCAGCTAATGAAATGGAATAATCTCCTTTTTCGCTTGACAGCGGCCCCAGGGGCACGTTGCCCTGCCCGGTGAATCGCTCTCCCTCTGTCTGCTGTCCGCCCTACCCTGCTGCAGAGGCCATGTCTCTTTGGCTAAGATACTGACGTTCTTGGCTTCGGTACAAGGCAGGGGGAGGGCCGAATGAGATAAGGCACACCCGCGGATGCTCGGCGACTGGGATTTATTTTATTACACATCTAGCAGGTGTTCAGAGAGCCACAGGGCACGATGCCAGGGCCTGCTGGGCTAAAAGAGGTGAGTAGGTCCGGCATGCTCCCGACTTTGGAGGCTGTTTTAAAGACTCAGAGTAGGAGGGAGATAAGGTTTGTATTTAGAGCCCCTTCATGGCCATCCTCTGCTTGACTGAGGCACCTTCATCCCAGCAACTAAGAGCATCGGCCACTATTTATGGAGCTCTGAACTTGTTCCTTTGCGTAGGGAGGCCAGATTCCCTGGGCTTCAGTTCTGGTTCTAACAGTTAGCACTTGTGTAACCAGGCACATCTCAACTTGTGACCCCCGCCCCCCACATCTCATCTGTCGAAGGGGAGGAAGAGCAGCACCTACCTCGTTTGGGTATTGTGAACTGGATGTGCTCATTTTTTTGTTTTCTTTTTCTTTCTTTCCTTCCTTTCTCTCCATAGGGCTCACCAGAGAGAGAAACAGACAGAGAGGAAAAGTGAGAAATCTTGCCCCCAGAGGATGGCCACACCACAATCCCATTTCCTCCTGGGATTTTGTGCACCCACACACATATCTGGCATAGCCGCTGGGTCTGGGACTTGAACTGCAGTCTGCCAGGTGAGAGTCTAGTATCTTAGCCACTACACCACCTGCTGGCCTCTGAAGCTGCTAATTATCTAAAGTGCTTAGGACACCACCAGACACCAGGATCACATAATGTGTGTGACACTGCTACAAAGCAGCTCTGTGTTCCTGTTTCTAACTGAGGCTTTGCAGATCTGGATCACCCCCCAAGTGCTGGCACTCAGTCCAAGATCAAGGGCCAAGATTCAGAGGGGACAGATGGAAACTGCCTCTAATAAGATCCCCCTGGCTTTAGGCTTTTTGGGAGCTGCGAAGTTCTGCAAGATTTCAGGGGCAGAGAGAGAGTGCTAGTTAGAGCTAGGGGGTCTCTGAGGCCGCTCTTTCTTGCCAGGGTGGTTGTGACTGGCGCTTGAGAGAGTGGGGTCCGTGGATAGAGGCCATGGGCAGAGGGAGGAAGGGAAGGTGGAGGTGGGTAGGGGGCTGCAGAAGGGTCTTCCACACATGTGAGTAATCCAGCTCCTTTTTAAAATTTTTTTTCCAAGCCAAACTGTACCCAGCTTTATTAAAGATACTTTTCATAAACAATCATGGTATTTCAGGCAGGATATGAGCAGACGATCGTTAACAGTATACAACAGCTTTCAAACTCGCTTCTTCAATGGACTACCAAAATCAGAAAGCCACTATAAAACCCAATGAAGGGACCAGCAGTTAGCGTAATGGCTATGTCGCTGGACTCCCATGTAGTCGACTGCGGTTCGTGTCCCAGACCCGGTGGCTTTAAATTCAAGCCGGGCGCGTGTGCGTGTGTACCCAAGATCCCGAGAGGAGAATGGAGGAGAAGGGATTGAGGTGTGGCCATCCCCCCTGGGGGGTGATTTCTTGCTTTCTGGCAGACAATCGTTAACAGTATACAACAACTTTCAAACTTCCTTCTTCAATGGACTACCAAAATCAGAAAGCCACTATAAAACCCAATGAAGTTTTCATCTGATGTTCTGAACAGGGAACGTTTAGAGTGAGGGTTGACATTTTACATTTAGCACGTTGTTTAACAACTTTTCACGAGCCAGCCCTGACTTTCGGGAAATGAAAATGGCAGAATTATCAACCTGAAGACCCAACAATACAGAAAAGGAACTGCTGCTCTTCTGAAGGACACCACCTCAATGTCACTGGAAAGTCCGGACTGCCTGACATACTGGCATAACCAATCTCCTGTGGTCACGTCTACGCTGAAGGCAGAGAGGGAGAGGACATCAAAGCAGATGTTACGTTTTCCACACCACAAGACATCTACGCCAAGGTGGCTGTGTGTCCGGGAACCCCTCCTCTCGGGAGCCAAGAGGAAGTCTCTCAACACTAGAAGGGAAAGATGTCCAAATCGATCCAGCTTCAGAGACATTCTATTAGTGACAAATGCCCCTGCCCCAAAACACAACAATGAAGTGTTCTGTGTGCTAACAACATAGCTTAAAAAAAAAAAAGTAAAACAGAATTCTGCATTTTTATAAAACTTGATTAAAAAAATAGTATTTCAAACTGTGCAGTCACCAGAAGGACACACTTGTCACAAATGCACACACTTCACTTGGCGTCTCCAGCTCCTTCAGCTTTCTGTGCCTGGTCTGTTTGGCGTCTCCATTCTTCTGCAGAGCTATTCCCATCCTTGCCAGCATCCGCTTTTCCCTGTTTTCCTGTGGGTACCTTCTCTCCCTTCTTTGCAGAACCCTTTGTAGGCGTGGGCTCTGGCTTTGGAGGAGCAGGTTTCGCAGACAACCCTGCAGATTTTCCCTGTGGTCCGTCCTTCACCTTGACTTTGTCTCCTTTAGCATATCCCCTTCAGCCTTTCTCTTGGGCATGGTGGCAATGACGGTGGGACATAGGCACTGGACGCGGGGACGCAGCGGTGCGCAGGCTTCTGTTGGTCCGGGGGTCGCTCTCACCTCTTCTTCTTCCAGCTCCTTTTGAAACAAAACTTTATCCTCCCCCCTTTTTTTTTCTTTGCCAGAGGGCAAAGAGAGTGATACAATGCCTTCTGAGGTGAAGTGGGGGCACGGCAGTCCCTTCTCCGTCTCTCCATCCTGCCAGGGCTTTGAGCACACACGCCGCATGACCAGACTGCTCTTAATGCCACCAGTGCTTGGATTTGAACCACGGTCATCCGTGTGGGATCTAAGTCCCTTAACCATCAGGCCATGGGGCCAGCCCAACGATATCCATGTCTTTCTTTTTAAAGAGATTTTTGTGTGTGCCCTGGCTGGAGAGAGAGACAGAGACAGAGACAGAAACAGGGAGAGAGGAGGTGAGAAATCACCCCCGAGGGCGAGGTTTGGAGCCAGTTTTGTTTGCTCTCGGGTGTCTGTTCAGTCGTCCCAGCAGCACTGCCTCGAGAGGGTGCCTCTGTCATAGCCTAGATTCTGCGTCAGAGTTTGGCGTTTAGAGCTTCCGTGTCCTTCCTCTAAGGTCCTAGGAGTTGGTTATCCTTGGGACTAGGTCCTCAGGCCTAGAAAGGTCCTCCCTGCAGTCTGTGCCCAGTGTTTGAGCCACGCTGGGGCTGGATGACTCCCAGGGACTCGGTGGCATGGGCGTTCGTGCTGGAGGAGTCCTCACTGCACGCTCGTGGAAACTCAGGCTCAGAGAGTTGATGTGAATTTCATGTTTCTTCTCCAGGGAGGACAGTCCCCATCTGTCCCTGGACCCCAAGAAAGACCCCACCAGAGGCCCCTGACCCCCTCTTCCTCCAGTTCTCCCTCCCGCACCTGTGCCTCACAGCTTTCTTGCCCGACTCAGAGGACGAGACGCAGGGTGTGTTGAGTGGGCACGCTTGCTCACCTGCCGACTGAGAAGGGTGTGGACACTGCATGCAAGGCACAGAATGGGTTTGGACATGGCTACTTAAACGCAAGAACCAGAACAAAACTCAGATTCACAGTGCAGTGCTCTTTAAACTCAGTGACCGGGAGAACCTTGAGTCTCGAAGCCTTGAACTGCTACTGGGAGGACTGGCAAGGCTTGTGCTGTGAGGGCTTCGGCTGCTGTGCTCAGTCTGGGGGTGCTGCCAGAGCATGCCTAGTCCGGGGCTGGCTGTGCAAGGCCTAGATCCAGAGCACCAGGGGCCCGCAAAAGAAGCCAGACTTGGGGAGGTCATGGCCAGCCCACGGGGGCCAAGGCCACAAAGCCCTTGAAGTCTCATGCGGGCTTCCTACAGGAACCTGGATCCAACGTGCCACACCGGAGTCAGCAGCGCTGCAGTCCGAGAGGCTGCATTTCCGGCAAGCTCCTGGGAGGTGCCCGCGCGTCATGTCTGGAGGAGCGAGAGTTTCGCATTCTACGTGGCCACCCACCCTGCTCCGACAGCTGCTGCTCCTCGTAACCACTCTCGCCCTGGAGGTGTGGGCCTCCACCCTGCCGTCGCCTCCGTCCACCTGGCAGTCTTCTGCGGCATCGCTCAGATTCCATGATGCCCCTGCGTTAAAACCGAGGCAACCACGCTTGGGTGTCCTAACTGGAGCGTCCCACGTGTGACTCTCAGGAGCATCCCTGGAAGGCGTGCATGAGGGTATCGCCAGCGGGAAGGGGAGCAGGGACGTGGGTGACAGATTCCTCTCCTCTGTCCAGCTGAGTCCCCCTATTCAGAGAAACAGGATTTCCAGGGTGACAGGTGCCAGAAGATGGTCCTGACATCTGAGGAATGTCAGCTGGACTGAAAGGATAGTAGATTGCGACCTAGGTCTTTCGAATGAGCCGAAAGGACGTCACGAGGTACTACAGCGCTTCCTTGCCCTCAGCAGCCCGTGGGTGAGAAAAACAAAACCCAGAAATCGCCTTTAGAGAAAGAGTGGCCAGCCCTT